AGGCTATCAGGTTGGTCAAACATGACTTCCATTTGGTAAAGCCATTTTGACTGCTCCGAATGACCCTCTTATCCTTGATATGCATAGACACAGCACCGAGGATAAGTTGTTCCATCACTTTTCCAGGGATGGAGGTGAGGCCGACCAGTCTGTAGTTACTCAGGTCCTCCTTCTTAAACTTTTCAAAGACTGGAGTGACATTTGCTTTCCTCCAGTCCTCAGGCACGTCACCTGTTCCCCACAACTTACCAAAGATGACAGAGAGTGGTCTATCAATGACTTCCACCAGCTCCCTCAGCACCTGCAGGGGCATCCCATCAGGGCCCATGGATTTATGTGTGTCCAGCTTGCTTAATTGATTCCTAACCCAGTCCTCATCAACCAAGGCAAACTCCTCCTTTATCCTGTCTTCCTCTGGGGCCTCAGGGGTCTGGAACTCCTGAGGACAGTCTCCAACAGTATAGACAGAGGCAAAGAAGGCATTCAGTAACTCCGCCTTCTTTGTATCCTGTCACTAGGGCGCCCGCCTCATTCAACAATGGGCCTACATTGCCTCTAGCATTAGTTTTGTTTGCAACATATTTGAAGAAGCCCTTTCTGTTGTACTTGACCTCCCTTGCAAGGCTTAACTCCAAGGAGACCTTAGCTTTCCTAGTTGTCTCCCTACACCCTCTGACAACAGTCTTATATTCCTCCGAAGTGGCCAGCCCCTCCTTCCAAGATCTATAGACTCTCTTCTTCCATTTGAGTTTGCCCATTAGTTCCCTGTTTAAGCATGTGGGTATCCTGGCTCCCTTTCTTGATATTCTACCCATTGGGATGCTCCAATCTTGAGCTTGGAAAAAGTGGTCCCTGAATATAAACAAACTATCTTGTGCCCCTTTACCTTCTAGTACCCTGTCCCATGGGATTTCCCTGAGCAATTGCTCAAAAAGGCTAAAATTGGCCCTACTGAAGTCCAAGGGTGTGATCCTGCTTGGTATTCTGTTCCTACTGCACAAGATCCTGAACTCCATCATCTCATGACCACTGCAGCCAAGGCTGCCCTCAACCTTCACTGCTTCAACCAGACACTACTTGTTAGTGAGTATAAGATCTAGCAGTGCTCCTCTCCTAGTGGGCTCATCCAACATTTGCATCAAGAAGTTATCATCGATGCACTGGAGGAACCTCCTGGGCTGTGAATGGCTAGCTGTATGGGCCTTCCAGCAAATGTCTAGGTAATCAAAATCCCCCTGATTACCAGAGCCTGTGATTGTGAGGCTGCTGTCAGCTGCCTGTAGAAGGTATCATCAACTTCCTCATCCTGATCAGGTGACCTGTAATAGAAACCGGCAACAGTATCTCCCATGCTAGCCTGCCCCTTGATTCTCACCCACAAACTCTTAACCTGCTCCTCATCCACATCTGGACAGAACTCAATACATTCCAGTTGCTTTCTCACATAAAGAGCACTCCGCCTCCTCAACCTTGTAGGCCTGTCTTTCCTGAAAAGGGCACAGCCATCCATGACCACATTCCAGTCATGTGAGCTGTCCCACCATGTCTTTGGAATTGCCACCAGATCATAATCCCTTGACCGCACACAGATTTCTAACTCCTCGTGTTTATTCCCCACACTGTGTGCATTGGTATACAGGCATCTCAGGGAGCAAGCTGAGCACACTGACTTCACCCTAGGGGGACAGGAGGCCTTCTGGTCCTCATTAATACTAGAACACTGCTCCATTGGTGCAAATCCAGCTACAATCCCATACCCCTTCGAATCTAGTTTAAAGCTCTGTGTATGAGTCCTGCTAACTGTAGCCCTAGAACCTTTTTCCCTCTACAAGATAAGCCTTTCGCATGTATTACCATCAGACCTGGTGTCTTAGAAAACCAGCCATTATCAAAGAACCCAAAGCACTGCCTGTAGCACCAGTCTTGGAGCCAGGTATTTACAGACTGGAATTCTATTGTATTGCTTCCCATATCATCACCCACAACTGGAAGGAGGGAAGAGAAAATAACTGGTGCACCAAACTCTTTCAGTAATTGTCCCGAGGCCCTGAAGTCTTTCTTCATTCCCCTCGGACTATGGGATGCAGTTTCCTCCCCTCCTGCTTGGAAGACCTGTAGCGGGTAATAGTCTGATGACTGCACTGGTTTGGGGAGTTTCCTACTGATATCCCTAATTTGAGCTCCAAGAAGACCACAGACTTCTCTATGATGAGGGTCAACCTGACATATTGGGCCTTCTGTTCCCTTTAGGAGTGAGTCTCCAACAACTATAACTCATCTCTTCTTCCTTGTGGAGGAGGTTGCCATATGTCTGGAGAGCCTATCTGACTGTGGTAAGACCTCTAGTATAGGTTGTCTGTCATCCACATTCTCATAAGACTGGCCATTTTCCAGCAGGGCCTTATATTTACTTCTCAGAGGCACCTGGGGAGGTGAGACAGACAAGGGGGTGCTCGCCTTCTGTCTCAGCCATGAACTTGCCTCCACTCACCTCTTTCATTTAGGCTTCTGTCTTCCACCTGACAGGGGCAGAATGCAGGGACCCCTTTATCCTGGGATAGTATCTGGTGGGTGCTCCCATTTCCGTTGCATGCAGGGCAGAGACTGGTTCCACCAGTCTATCTCCATTTCAGTCTCCCTAATGCTCCTAAGCCTTTTTATTTCATCTTGTAGCCTTTCAACCTCGTCTTGCAGCTGGGCCACACCGCACACAGCTGTACTCATGGCTGCTCCCTGCTGCAGTGAGAGTCTGTGGCATTCCCTGCCGCCTGTGACCTGGACACCTGCATGTTTACCTGGGACCTCTGTTCGGGTCGCCACATTTCTTCGAACAGGTGTTGCCCGGATTGCCACCATAAGTGCCCGCACCACCGGTTCCCCAGGCTGCCGCAGCACGCCCAGTTACCACCAGCTGAACTTGGCTCGCCCCGAAGATGTGCCCAGCCCACTTTGCTTGACCTTGCTCGGTGCGCAGGGGGCTTAGGCTGAAGCACCCTTGGCTTCTCAAACTGCCAGCTTCAGCGCCCTTCCTGCGCAAACTGCCGCGCCGCGCCACGCTCTGGTGGCACCGCTCCTGGTCGCCAGCGCTCCCCGGGCTGCTCTTTGTAGGCGTCAGAGCGCGGCGTTGCGCTGGCGCCGCTCAGGTCTCGCCCGCGTCTCCCGCGAGAGCTGCCGGCTCCAGGCGGGTCTCCCCGCTGCCCTGCCGTGTCCTTCCCTCAGCAAACGCCGCTGTGCGCTGAGATCTGCCGCTCTGGTGCGGGCCAGGTCGGCTCGGGAGCAGCTCGCCTCGGCGACTGGCGGTAGGTAGCGTGGAGGGTTTTCTAACCGTTTCTTGTCTTCCTCATAAGGGACTGTGGTATGCAGCCTTCCTGTAGGTCTTTTTTTTTTTTTTTTTTTTTTTTTCTTCACCGTAAGACAGACGAAGTTTTAATGTACAGGTAAGATACAATAGCTTTTCATAAGGGTGGGTTCTGTCTGTTTTCTCTTGGCTTGTTCAAGCAACAGTAACCGCCGTCGACATTTGCCAGAAAATATTCTCAAGCTTTGAGACCTGCTGCATTAACGGCCGCCTTAGGAGATGAGGTCGTGGTTTGTCAGAGACGGAGACAAAAGAAATTCGGGCTTGGGTTGTATGCCACTGACACGGTGATGATGGGTTTTGAACGTCGAAAGAGACGGTATCAGGTAGTTCTCATATGACCACTGTGGTTTTCTCAGTGGCTGAGTTTCCCGACCACTGAGAATCACCGTTCAAAGTGGGAAAGCTGAGTGCTAGCTCAGGGTCTCCCAGATACCGATGGTGAGGAGACGGCAACGGGGACACGCCAGCGCCTCATCCTAGAGACCGGTAAGATCACTGTGGGACAGAGATAGAGATCCTGCTCCACATCCTCCTAGCAACGAGGGAGAATTTGTCCTGCAGAAGGCATGAAGTGCAAGAAATTCTGACAATGGGAATTCTTAGATGCACCGTTTCAGCACAGATACAGTATTTCTGTTCCGCGCTACTGACAACAGCCGTATTTTCCAACCCGCGTGTGCGTGCGATTTAAGGACGCGCGTAGCAGGACCGTCGGGCTGTCTCTTCCTCTCGGAAGCTGCTGTTCTTGGACACGGACTCAGGGTGTCACTGTTGGCCAAGGCGCAGAAACGGCTCCGCCGTCGACTCCTCCCCGGCCTCGGCGCCCGCGCGGTGCTGTTCCGCACAGAGCAGCGCGGAGAGAAGAGCAGGAACTGCACGACTCAGCCCGTCCTCCGAGCGGCAACAGGGATTTCATGTATTTATTTCTCTCGGGTACTGATTCAGCTGCTTGGAAAGCCTAGTTTAAAATAATCTGCAGAATACGCTTCAGCGAAGCAGAGAATGGAGGTGCGACCGGCAGCGCAGGGCCGGGCAGTCGCCGGGCGGGTCGCGCTGTTGGCCGTGCTGCTGCTGGTGTGCTGCCGGGCGGCGCCGGAGCGGCTCCGCTACGCCATCCCCGAGGAGCTGGGCAGAGGCTCGCTGGTGGGGCCGCTGGCGCGGGACCTGGGGCTGACCCCAGCCGACCTGCCGGCACGCAAGCTGCGGATAGTTTCTGGTGACGAAAAGCAATACTTCACTCTCGGAGAAGGTAATGGAAGTCTGCGGGTAAACGAGAGGATAGACCGAGAGGGCATCTGCGGGGTCGTGTCACCCTGTGTCCTCAGTTTGGAGGCAGTAGTGGAAAACCCTTTCAATATGTTTCATGTGAGCGTTACTATTCAGGATATCAATGACAACGCGCCGCAGTTTGACAGAGAATTTGTTGCCATAGAAATAATCGAGTCCACGCCTCCTGGGGCCAGGTTCCCACTGGGCAGTGGCAGAGACCCCGACGTTGGGGCGAACTCATTAAAAAACTACCAACTTACCCCCAACCCGTTCTTCTCCCTTGTGGTGAGGGAGAGTCCTGATCGGACGAAACATGCGGAATTGGTACTGGAGAAGAGTTTGGATCGAGAAAAACAGAGAAATCACCATTTGATACTGACGGCAGTGGATGGCGGGGATCCAGTCCGATCCGGGACCGCACAGATTAAGATTAATGTGACCGACGCAAATGACAACCCGCCGGTATTCACCAAAGAGATCTACAAGGTTCGACTGCTAGAAAACCTGCCAGAGGGCTCCTTAGCATTTCAGGTGAAAGCTACTGACGCCGACGAAGGTACAAACGCGGAAATTACCTACTCCTTCAGTGACATCGCAAATAATGCACGCCAGCTCTTTGCTCTGGACTCCAGGACAGGGGACGTGAAGGTTACCGGCCCCTTAGATTATGAAGAGGGGAACTACTACGAAGCAAGTGTTGAAGGCAAGGACGGGGGCGGGTTGACCGCCCATGCCAAAGTGCACATAGACATTCTAGACGTGAATGACAACGAGCCAGCCCTTTCTCTCTTGCCTATCTTGAAACCGATACCCGAAGACTCGGTCCCAAGCACAGTTGTAGCTGTGATCAATGTCCGTGACAGAGACTCAGGGGATAACGGAGAAGTAAACTGCAAAATCGACGGCGATTTGCCTTTCAGACTAGAACCGTCATCAGAGAACACCTATAAACTAATAATAGCCAGTGCCCTGGACAGAGAAAACGTCTCCGCTTACAATATCACCATCACTGCCAGGGACCGGGGCGCGCCGGCGCTGTCCAGCGTGGCGGCGCTGGTGCTGGAGGTGTCGGACGTGAACGACAACGCGCCGGTGTTCGAGGAGGCGGCCTACAGCGCGTACGTGCCGGAGAACAACGCGGCGGGCGCGGAGGTGGTGCGCGTGCGGGCGCGGGACGCGGACGCGGGCGCCAACGGGCGCG